TTTTTTTTTTTGTTTTATTATTTTTGATGCTTTATTGTCACTGTAATTTAGTATAGTCTGACTGTCAAAGTTTTTTGATTGAGATCAGTCACCTTATTGATTCGATATCTTGCTCCCTTCTTCGGGCTCTAATTGATATTTTTTATTCATAATTTTATTACACGCTTTTGCAGATTGATAAAAAAAATTAAAGTTATTGCTTTTCCGACACGCTTCAAACACTTTTTTGCTGACTTCATAAAGCAGTTCTCTATTTGCACTTTTACAGACATTTAATTATAACGTGAAACCAGTAAAATAAGCACTATTAATATATTTATTATTAAACTAAAGGATATCTGATTGTTAGTTGGATGAAAATTTTTGTCTGAACTGGATGTGGAAGGGGTATTTCGCTGAAATATCGTGTACAGGAGTAGAAGGAGTGAAAAGATGGTAGGGTCAGAGAGAAAAAAAGGACTGCTTCGAAGAAGAAAAAAGCGGCGCAAAGTAGGTAGCGCGGTAAAACCGTGAAGTTGCTGAGAGTCAGAATGGATGAATGGAGTTGGCCTTGCACAACTGATTCAAAAGTTGTTCTTGACTATTTTTTTAGTCATCGTGGTTTGCTAGTCATTTATCATTATTTGCTGTCATACACTGGAACTTCGCTGCCTGAGCTGCTCTCTGATACGGTTCTTGTCTGCTTTTTTGCCACATTAAAATTCCTTTTTCTAGTCTTCTTTTACTTTATTTATTCTTTTGGTTTTGGATATGAAACTACACAATGAATTTTTTACTGATATTTTCATCAAATTCTTCTGGCAGGAAAAAGCTAAAAGAATCAAGTTTGATTCCCATAGTTACAGGTAAATCATGTGGCTCCTTATTACCTAGCCCGTAAGCTGGTTCCATTGCTGCAGAAAAATAAGCCATCAAGAATAATTTTTGTTAGCAGCATTTGCTATAATTGGTAAGTGGCCTACAATCTGTTTGATATGTTGGGTTTTTTTAAGGGATGACGATTAAGTATTAACTTGTTTTGGCAATTTGATGGTTCTAGAGTTCTATGTTAGACAGGCTTAGGGGGTATGGTTACATCGTTTAAGGTATCCACTCAACTGGAGTGATATGGAGGCAAAAAAACATTACGAGAAGTATGAGCAGTATTCGAGAACAAAGCTTATGGTTCATATGACAGCATTTAAATTGGCTCGCTTACTTAATAATACTGGAGTAACCTGCAACGTTTTGGAACCAGGCGTCATCGAGACGAAACTGCTAAGGTTATTCTTCTTTAAAAATTTATTTAACAAAAACTTAGATTTCTTGAACAAATAAGGTAATTTTCAGACCAAAACCTTTACTGTTTAATGTTTGTTCTTCTGGCTAAGAATGAGATAAAGTATGATGTTGAATGCAGTTTTCTTTGCGGATACCGATTTGGCTTTAAAAAAAGTTAGAAATCAATGGTTCAAGAAAATCAACAATGTTTTTATCGTTTTTGACGAGTGACCTCTTACTATAAACTTTTTTGTCAGAAATGGCGGTTACAGCGGAGCACCTGTTACTGAGGGGGCTCGATGTCCCGTCTTTTTAGCTGAGTCTGACGGAGTGGAAAAGGTTAACGGTGCATATTTTGATAGTCGGACCAAGAGAGTTACAAATTTGAGCGCTGATTCCACTGATACCGAGCAACAAGAACGTTTGTGGAAATTGACTGAAGACTTATGTAGAGATATGGGTTGTCCATTTTAGGTTGCTTATTGCTTCTAAGTTGAACTTTGTAGATCATTTTTCAATATGATTGTTAACTGTTGGTGCGGATACTGCTTTACAGCTACTGAAAAATACGTGTATTCTTTCGTGATTTTTCAGTTTTACATAGAATCCTATTTTTGAATAAACTTTTGTTGTTAGGCCCTCTTTGGCAGTTTTCCTTCAC